TTCGAGTGATTCTCCTGCCTCAGCCTCCTGAGTAACTGGAACTACAGGCGTGCGCCACCACACCCAGCTAATTTTTGTATTTTTTTTTTTTTTTTTGAGACGGAGTCTCACGCTGTTGCCCAGGCTGGAGTGCAGTGGCGCGATCTCGGCTCACTGCAAGCTCCGCCTCCCGGGTTCCCGCCATTCTCCTGCCTCAGCCTCCTGAGTAGCTGGGACTACAGGCGCCCGCCACCGCGCCCGGCTAATTTTTTGTATTTTTAGTAGAGACGGGGTTTCCCTGTGGTCTCGATCTCCTGACCTTGTGATCCGCCCGCCTCGGCCTCCCAAAGTGCTGGGATTACAGGCTTGAGCCACCGCGCCCGGCCGTATTTTTTTTTTAGTAGAGACGGGGTTTCACCATGTTGGCCAGGATGGCCTCAATCTCTTTACCTCGTGATTCGCCCGCCTCGGCCTTCCAAAGTGCTGGGATTACAGATGTGAGCCACCGCGCTCAGCCTTAATTTTTTTTTAAAGCATAAAAAGATTTACTGTGTAGTGTGCTTGATTATATTAAGATATACAGCTGGGTGCAGTGGCTCATGCCTGTAATCCCAGCACTTTGGGAGGCTGAGGCAGGTGTATTGCCTGAGCCCAGGAGTTTGAGACCAGCCTGGGCAATGTGGCGAAACTCCATCTCTACTAAAAATATAAAAACGTAGCCGGGCATAGTGGCATGCACCTGTTGTCCCAGCTATTTGGGAGCCTGAGGTGGATCACCTGAGCCTGGGAGGTAAAGGCTGCAGTGAGATTGCACCACTGCACTCCAGCCTGGGTAACCGGAGTGAGACCTTGTACCACCACCACCACCACCACCACCACCACCACCACCACCACCACCACAACAGATTTACATGCTACAAGCAAGTCTTAAAATAAAAACGGCAAGATGTCATTGGGGCTGTTTTTCACTCTCCTCTTCACAAAGTGCTGTAAACATTCTTATCAGTGCTCAGGTATTCCTTTTAACTGGTTTGTTTATATTTCTCTAGGGGCTAGGGGAGGAAGACTATGGGAAATGTACTTGAGACTCCTTTTGTAGTAAAGTCTAAGCAGTCCTACTTCAAGTCTGAAACCTTCCAGCCAGATTAAATGATACAAACATGGGAAAATAAAAAGAAAATGGAATTAAATGATCATCGGATCACTACCCAGGACGGTACATTTTAAGATTGCAATAGTAACTCCTAACAGTTAACATTAAACAAGTGTTTAATATCAGTTTACAAGCACTACTTTATTTAATCATCACACAACACAAAATTTAAAATGTCCGTAGCACTTTATTCCCATTTTAACACTGAGAAACACTTTGTGTAAGTAACACAGGAAAGAACTGGAGCTAAGTTCTTTTTTTCTTTTTTTTTTTTTTTTTTTTTTTTTTTGAGACAGTCTTGCTCTGTCACCCAGGCTGGAGTGCAGTGGCCTGATCTCAGCTCACTGCAACCTCTGCCTCCCAGGTTCAAGCAGTTCTCCTGTCTCAGCCTCCCAAGTAGCTGGGATTACAGGTGCATGCCACCATGCTCAGCTAATTGTTTTGTATTTTTAGTAGAGACGGGGTTTCACCATGTTGGCCAGGCTGGTTTTGAACTCCTGATCTCAAGTGATCCACCCGCCTTGGCCTCCCAAAAGGAGCTAATCTCTTAACACCACACACTGGTCTCTCCCCTGTGCAAAATGCTCAACTCAAAGGGCAGTTCTAAAGACTAAATGTGAAGTTGTGCACAGTGGCTGATGCCTATACTCTTAGAGCTCTGGGAAGCCAAGGCAGGGAGATGGCTTGGGGGCAGGGGTTTTGAGACCAGCCTGAACAACATACCAAAACCCTGTCTCTACAAAAAAATAAAAATAAAGATTAAATGTGCATCCGGTTGCCTGCCCTATAGTTAGTCATTAAATGATAGCATTATTCTTAAATTATTAATATTTACTTGTGCATAGCCTGGGGTCCCATGTAGAGATTTCCCAACCATTTTGTTCAATCTGTATATTACAATATTGTATGTTGCACAGGTGAAAGTGGGAATGGCTTCAAATCTACGATTCCATAAGTCAATAAAGGATTAAGGCAAGAAAATAGAAACACGGTCGAAAATTTATAAATCACAAGTTGGTGAAATTGTAAGTCAGGTTGATGTGGTAAGACAGTAACTGAGGAAATGGGACCATCCTAGTTGCAGAACAATGTTCTGGTTGTGAGTTCACGAGTGGCAATACTTCGGAATGGGTACCACATTCTGGAGAATGGCTCTTAGTATTTGCAGTCCAAAAATTAAATTTAATCAGTATACAAATAAGTATTTCGGCTCTTAGAAATTATTAAAATGAATCAAAGTAACCAAAAGTCTAATCTTTAAACCATATTGTCAATTATGTATGTATACATAGAGATAAGCCTTTCCTTAAGGTGGAATATTCCATCCCCTTATTGCCCTGGCATCGAGAACTCATTATTGCTCCCACATTGCTCACTGGAAATCATTTCCCTAACCACAGCACTTCTTCCCTGAATCTGCTTTATTTTCTGTAGCATTCATCACTATCTGAACTTAGCTTATTTCCTTCTTGATTGCCTGTTTTCTTCCACTAGAGTGTCAAGCTCTCGAAAGTTTGTTCACTGCCATATCCCCAGCTTCTAGAACAGAGCCTGACACATACTAGGAACTCAATACATGTTTACTGAATAAGTGAATGTAATCTGGAGGTTGTAAATCCAAGTTATATGGAAGTCAATACAAACTCGTTTCCCTCAACAGGTAACAGTTCTCTTACGATTGGATTTTCTTTACCTGTTTCTGAGAGTCAGTTTGTGCTCTCAGAAATTCCCTCTTAAATACAATTTGGTAGGCTTAAGCTGACTTATAGAGTAACTTGATTTGACTTTTGGCTCCACATTAATCATTCAATAAAAGAAAGCATGAGCTACAGGAGGGTCAGCTGTGGAGTAGGATGTGGAACTCATTCATTTCCTTATCCTTTTATCACATATTAGTATCCTGTTAGGTGCAGGATAAAGAGAGCTCTCTGCTGCCTCATTACTCAGTAATTACTCAGTAATTAAAAAATAAAATAGCAAAATTTTAATAGTTTTTCCAGCCGAAGGAAAATGCCCTTGAATGAAAATGGCTCCACACAGTGTCAAAAGAAAAAAAAAAATCTCTATACTGTAACAAACTTATCTTAATGATAAAGCAGTTTAGAACATATGGGGTGGTGGGAGCATCTAATTCAGACTTGGGAAGTCCAGGAATGCTTTTCAGGGGAAGCAGTACAAAAGCTGAGACCTAAAGGATGTGTGGAAATAAGCCTGAAGGGGAGAGGGAACAAATTTTTGAAGCAGACAAAAGAGCAGACATGGATACTCGGCAGCAAGACAGAGTTGGGTCTTACCGAAGAACTAAAAGAAGTGGCTCACGCCTGTAATCCCAGCACTTTGGGAGGCCAAGGCGGGTGGATCACGAGGTCAGGAGTTTGAGACCAGCCTGACCAACATGGTGAAACCCCGTCTCTACTAAAAATACAAAAATTAGCCGGGTGTGGTGATGCGCGCCTGTAATCCCAGCTACTCAGGAGGCTGAGGCAGAACTTCTTGAACCCAGGAGGTGGAGGTTGCAGTGAGCCAGATCACGCCACTGCACCCCAGCCTGGGTGATAAGAGTGAAACTCTGTCTCAAAAAAAGTTCCATCTAGTGAGAACCTTTTTTTTTTCCCCTCTCCTATCTCAGCCTTCCAAGTAAGTAGCTGTGACTACAGCCCAGCCTAATTTTTTTTTTTTTGGTAGAGACAGGGTTCCGCCATGTTGCCCAGGCTGGTCTCCAACTCCTGGGCTCAAGTGATCCGCCTGCTTCAGCCCCTTGAAGTGCTGGGATTATGGGGATGAGCCACTGCACCCGGCCAATATTCCTTATTTTAAATTAAAAAGCCAATAAAGTATATTATATTTTTAAAATGTAAAACATTACTCCTTCCTTAAGAAGGGCAGCAGATCACCCTGGATGTTTTTATTTTTATTTTTTAGATAAGAGTCTTGCTCTTGTTTCCCAGGCTGGAGTGCAGTGGTGCAATCTCGGCTCACTGCAACCTCCACCTCCCGAGTTCAAGTGATTCTCCTGCCTCAGCCTCCCCAGTAGCTGTGATTACAAGCCCCTGCCACCATGCCAAGCTAATTTCTTTTTTTTTTTTTTTTTTGTATTTTAAGTATAGACGGGATTTCACCATGTTGGCCAGGCTGTTCTCAAACTCCTGACCTCAGGTGATTCACCCGCCTCGGCCTCCCAAAGTGCTGGGATTACAGACGTGAGCCACCGCGCCCGGCCTAATTTTTGTATTTTTAGTAGAGACGGGGTTTCACCATCTTGGCTAGGCTGGTCTTGAACTCCTGACCTCAGGTGATCCGCCCGCCTCGGCCTCCCAAAGTGCTGGGATTACAGATGAGAGCCACTGCGCCCTGCCTGGATATTTTACATTCTACAGTTTGGTTCTGGTTAAATAGATGAGGCTTTAGTGATGAACAGTTTGGTACTGGAATTTTGACTCTACACTTACTGGCTGCATGACAGCGGACATTTCAAGCTAAGTTTCAGCTTCCTCATTCGTAAACTGAGGGCAGTAACAGAATCTACCTTCAGGGGGCGTTCAGGAGACAGGCTTCCCTCCTGTTACTAAGCCCTCAGGATGCCTACTCCTATTCTCTTAACTCGGCAATCTTCCCGCGACCCTCTGGCCTCAGAGATTCCCTTTCTGTTACAAATCAATAAAGTAACCCTATCTCGTGATGTTAACCCCAAAGATAATTTAAGGAGGCAACAGGTTATCATTAAGGATAATAAAGAATCCTTCGAAGGGAGAAACCATGGTCTAACACAACGGTAAGGGAGCGTCCCCGTTAGGGTGATCGTTTGAACTGACCTAGGATTCCAGGGAAGGATAGGAGAAGGGCCCTGAAACAATTAAATGAACATTACATCGGCAAGGAAGTTCTCGGAGCCTCCGTGGACAGCCTCACTTCAGAGCCGGTGGGATCCGCTTCCAGTCACAGCTGGGAACCCAAGGTCACAGGGGCGCCCTCTGGGAGCTCGCCGGGATGAGCCCAAAATGGCTGGCGGCTGTTGCATGCCGTGGCCCGGCGTATCCGGCTGAACCGGAAGTCCGTTCCTGACCGGGCTTTGCCGGCTGCGAGCTGGGTGTTGTTGCTTATTTTCTAGAGATTGGGTGTGGTGAGGCCCTTAAGGGCCCAGGCATGGAGCCCTGTACTAGATATTCATAAACCATCTCTGCAGCCTAGGCTAGGTTGGCCCTGAAAGCCCCAGGAAGCTTGGGGAGCCAGGGAGAGACATGATGAAGTTGTGGCAGGGTGAGATGTGCCCCTTCCTCCTCCTAGGACTGGACGCAGTGAATTTGTATAAAGCTCTTTACCAACTGGAGTCTTAATTAAAGGAAAGGATTAAGGAAAGCCCTAAAGGATCTATGGGAATAGGTATCTCCACCGTGGCCTTGGTCTCAGCCATTCCTCTGTTTTATTTTTTTTGGGGGACAGAATCTTACTCTGTTGCCCAGGCTGGAGTACAGTGGCACAATCTTGGCTCACTGCAACCTCTGCCTCCCGGGTTCAAGCAATTCTTCCACCTTAGCCCCCCAAGTAGCTGGGACTACAGGCGCGATACACCATGCCTTGATAATTTTGTATTTTTTGTGGAGATGGGGTTTCACCGTGTTGCCCAGGTTGGCCTCGAACTCCTGAGCTCAAGCCATCCACCCGCCTTGGCCTCCCAGAGTGCTGGTATTACAGGCGTGAATCACTGTGCCCAGCCTCAGCCATTCCTCTGGAGGTTTTCTTACAGCGTAGGAGTTATATAGCAACACAAGCTGCGATCTAAAGTCACAGACTGGGTGGCTCAAGCCTGTAATCCCAGCATTTTGGGAGGCTGAGGCGGGCGGATCACCTGAGGTCAGGAGTTAGAGACCAGCCTGGCCAACAAGGTGAAACCCCGTCTCTACAAAAAATACAAAAATTAGTCTGGTGTGGTGGTGTGCACCTGTAATCCCAGCTACTCGAGGGGCTGAGGCAGGAGAATTTCTTGAACCTGGGAGGCAGAGGTTGCAGTGAGCCGAGATCGCACCATTGCACTCCAGCCTGAGCAACAGGGCAAGACTCCCTCTTTAAAAATTAAGTCACACAGATCTGTGCTTTAATCCTGGCTATGTGTAACTTTGGTAAGTTACTCAAGTTCTGTAAACCTCCTATTTTTACATCTAAAATGCAGAAAGAAATTGTACTTGTTTTAGAGTTATTGTGACAAAATACATACACCACAGAGCACAGAGTCTTGTGCCCAGTAAGTGCTCAGTTGACACATGTGCTTTTAACATTATGTGCATTGATGGAAACTCTTCTACTTTGCTTTATCTTGTCCTAGTGGCATACGGTACCCTCTTGGCAAACCAGCTAGACCAAAACAGAAAGATTCATCACAGACTGAAAACTCTTTATTTTAGGAGAGTATAAATAAGTGGGTTCTCATTGTGTTACAAAGTGCAAAATAACATTGTAAGGTGGATTGTCACCATAGTTTAGGGCCTTCAGGTTCATGAAAGGATTTCCAGAGGAAGAGGCATCAAAATGAAACACTGGAACTAAGGAGGAATGAGCCCCAAGAAGAGAGGATAAACATTCCAGGCAAGTGCAATGTGTGAGAAGGCCCTGAGATGAGCTGGAGCATGGCAGGCTTGGAGAACTGAAGTTAGCCCTGTTTGAACTAATTTATTAATGAAGGAATGGAGAGAAGTCTGGAGAGAAGCAGGCCAGATCTTCTATGGCCTTGTAAGTCATGTTAAGGAGCTGTCTTTCAAATTATCCTTCCTGATCGTGTAGTTGTAATGTATGCATTAGATTAATAAATATATCTTAAAATATAGACAACATGCACTTAGCAAATTACAGCTACTTCATACATGGTAATGAGGCCAGCTTTCCATAGAATACCAGGTAAAGTGACATCTCCGTTTTATACATTATGTGGCATGAAGAAATGCCCTACTTTAAGTGGTTGGTTGTGGCTTTTTCGGGAGTCCCCTTAGAGAGGATCTTGGAGGTATCTGGATAAAAATCTGGCTTGTAGCTGTTATTGCTAATTTAGCCTCATTCAGCAATTGTTTTGAGGATGTATATCCCACCTGTCGCACTGGAGAAAAGGAGAGGGAATGGGAGATACAATTTTGCTTCCTGAGAGAAACTTTCCATCATCTTACTTCAGGTATTGGCAGCAACGTCTAAAGCACTGATTTCCCATGGACATGAGAGAAACATAGTGGTTATGACTGGGGTTTTTTCATGGGGTCAAGCTGCTTGGGCTTGTAACTTTACTCCCGAACAAGTTATTTGAGTAAGTTACCTAATTTATGTGACCCTTAATTTCCTAATTTATAAAATGGGAACAGGAGTCTCTTGATCATGAACTCATTAAGAGGAGTTAGTAAGATATTTCACAGCTAGTCCTACCCTAATGCCTGGCGCAAGATCTCAATATATCCTATTCATTATGATTATTAGTATTTTGCATCTTTTAATCTTTCACTTTTTTTTTTGTTTGTTTTTGAGACAGAGTCTTTCTTTGTTGCCCAGGTTGGAGTGTAGTGGTACAATCTTGGCTCACTGCAACATCCACCTCCCAGGTTCAAGCGATTCTCCTGCCTCAGCCTCCTGAGTAGCTGGGATTACAGGCGAGGGCCACCACACCTGGCTAATTTTTATATTTTTAGTAGAGTTGGGGGTTTCACCATGTTAGCCAGGCTGGTCTGGAACTCCTGACCTCAGGTGATCTGCCTGCCTTGGCCTCCCAAAGTGCTGGGATTACAGGCATGAGCCACCACGCCCAGCCAATGTTTCACATTTTTAAAAGCGTATGATCACTAGAATTTTATATTTTGCTAAAGTGAATACTATAGAATCAGAAAGCTGTACTTGGTAAACTTTCCTGTCATTAATTTGAATTCTCTAACTTATTTCTTGAAGGCATTCTTTTTTAAAGCTTCTTTCAATGGAGACACAAAAGTAGGAAAAAAAATAGTACGACAGTTCCCATGTACTCATAATTCAGCTTGAATAATTATTCTTTGCTGATTCCTTTGTATCCACACCCACACCCTCCTTCCTCCATATAGCTCCATTTGCAAATATTTCAGCAGATGGAGTATAAAATATACCATTTTATCACATGTAAAAAATTTTAATACTTCTGGCCGGGCACAGTGGCTCAGGCCTGTAATCCCAGCACTTTGGGAGGCCAAGGTGGGTGGATTACCTGAGGTCAGGAATCCAAGACCAGCCTGGCCAACATGGTGAAACCCCATCTCTACTAAAAATACAAAAATTAGCCGGGTGGGGCACATCCCTGTAATCCCAGCTACTCAGGAGGCTGAGGCAGGAGAATTGCCTGAACCCATGAAGCAGAGGTTGCAGTGAGCCAAGATCATGCCACTGCACTCCAGCCTGGCTGAGAGAGAGAGACTGTCTCAAAAAAAAAAAAAAAATTTTTTTTTAGTACTTCTCTAGTATCATTAAATATCCATGCTCAAACTTTGAATCATCTCATAAATTGTCTGTTAGATCAGGATCAAAACGAGGAACACATTGTGATTGGATGTATCTTTATAATTTTTGAATTTATTGATTTTGTCATTTTAGTATGTATAGATTCTTTTTTTTTTTTTTTTTTTTTTTTGAGACGGAGCCTCGCTCTGTCACCCAGGCTGGTGTGCAGTGGTGCAAACTCGGCTCACTGCAACCTCCGCCTACTGGGTTCAAGTTATTCTCCTGCTTCCGCCTCCTGAGTAGCTGGGATTACAGGCACGTGCCACCACACCTGGCTAATTTTTGTAGTTTTAGTAGAGACGGGGTTTCACCACGTTGGTCAGGCTGGTCTCGAACTTCTGACTTCGTGATCCTTCCGCCTCGGTCTCCCAAAGTGTTGGGATTACAGGCGTGAGCCACCGCACCCGGCTAGATTCAGTCCTAACCTAACTGCAGATACCATCTCTTCCCCTTCTTCTTCTTCATTTTCCTTTACATGACTTGTTAATACCTGTCATATCACATATTTGTGTGCCTGGTGTATTGTCTCTCTACCTGCTCATCATAACAAAAGCTTCATAACAGCTTTATAAGGAAACTGTGGAGGAGGCAAAAATCAGAATGTGCTTAATCAATGTTCTCTTCTAACGTAGTGATTTTTCTCTTGGAACTTTTTCTTCTTGAGACAGTTTGGGAGGGAGGTGTTACCTTTATTTTTAATGATTGTTCTTTTCTAAGCTGAAGGGATTTATTCAAAGTGATAGGCACAGCAAGTCTTAGGATGAGATTTTTTGTTTTCAATGATACTAATAAAAATTCTAGCCTCCAAAATCAACTGATGGGATTAGAAAAGGAAAACAGAGAAAAACATGTCTGTGGGGTGAGGGGGCTGTTTGGTACTAGGATGTGTGGGATGGAGGTTTTGGCCTGGAGCAGGAAGTAGACTAGTGTCAGACACAATACATTAGACAATTAAGGAGAAGATATTATTCAGATTATTGCAGTAGAGACAGCACCTCAGATCCAATGGCTAAAGTGTCTTGGCACAGTGGTTCTACCTTAGACTTTTATAGCGAGGGGTAAACAAGTTGCAGATGGGGTTGTTTCGCAAGTGGGGGAAGTCTGAACATGGGGGGTTATCTGAACATCAAACGTTTTCTCTGTGGTTAGTTTCAGTGGGACAGACCCTTCTAATCTGCTAATCAATCAAAGAATGGGAGGTTGGAGCATCTGGGTCTAACCTTGTGAGCAGGTTCAGGTAAAAGGGACTGTTTGGCTTTGCCACGGGTAAACAAAGGAGTCATCTTTGACTCTGGAAGTTGTGAGAAAGTAGATAATGAGTCTTATATAAGTCATATGGGGAAGAGTAGTTCTTTGAGGTAAACTCTTTCCAGAAACACAAAAGGATTTTTTGAGGGGGTCAGGGAGTGGTCTAGAAAACAAAAGGATGGGGGTACTTCCTAACCATCACTGCGTCCTGAGAGCACAGGGCTCAGGTAAAGTTCAACCTTGTCATAAGGTTGCCTACTAGAGGACAGAATAGATGGGTGCACTG